GATCCAGGATGATCTCACCCAGCTAGAGCATTAGGCCAAATCTACTAGGATTAATTTTAATTGAGATAAATTAATTGGGATAAAATCTTTGTTATTGTTCAGTCATTTTTTATGATCCCATTTGAGGTTTTCTTGGCAAAGATACTGAAGTGGTTTGACATTCCCTTCTCATTTTACAGGTGAGGATACTGAGGCAAACAGGGTTAAGTGACTTGCCTAGGGTCACACAGCTAGAAAGTGTCTAAGGCCAGATTTGAACTTCGGTCTTCCTGACTCCAGTCTGGGTGCTCTATCCACTGTACCACCTGGCTGTCATTTAAATGTGAAGTCTTACCCTTGAGTTAATATATCAACTTTCCATGTACGTGATATAACTAGACAACAGTTCATCCAGAAAATATCTGGGTATTTTAGAGAATTCTAAGCTTGAAGCTTGAAGTCAATAGTCAAAAAAGTGAATGGGATCATAGATTATACGAGAAGAGGCATCCAGGATTCGGGGTGGGATGCTTGGTGGTACTCTGCCCTGGTCAGACCCCATCTGGAGGGTTGTTCTGGGAGCCACGCTTTAGAAAGCACACTGATAAGCTGGAGAGCTTTCAGAGGACAGATGACCTTAAGATCAGCCATATACGGTTCATTTGAAGGAATTGGGGCATTCAGTCTAGAAAAGACCGGGTGGAGTGTGCAGGTGGGAGGACGAGGGCACATGAAGTATTTGAACAGATTTCATGTTGAAAAGACTTGTGCTATTTCAATCAATTAGTCAATAAACATTAAGTGTCTACTCTGTGCTAAGCGCTGGACCTGAGATTTGAACTAGAAGCAATGGATGGAAATTACTGAGAGGCAGCTTATGTTTTGATGTAGGGAAATATGTCCTAACTAGTAGTTCTCTAGGGGTGGAACAGGCTGCCTCTGGATAGAGTAGGGCCATCCTCATTGGAGGTCTTCAAGTAAAGACTGGACAAGAGCTCAGGGGGAAATCCCAGTATCTCAGAGGCTAGCGATGTGGCCTGAACAGTCACGTATGCTCTGACATACCTCAAATGGACAAGAGATGCCAACAAGGAGCTCTCTGTCCATGTGCGGTCCATCCTGAATGACCTCTGAGGTCCCTTCTGCCTTTGGGGCTTGGTGATTCCCTCCCTTCCACAGCCTCAGGCTTCCAGTGGCCTTTTCCCACTTCCTGCAGAACCCTGGGGCTCACCTCAGCCAGCTGCACCTCCTTTCCCAGTCTAGACTGAGAGATGGATGAACTTTCCAGAAAAATGTGTTTCAGGAAAAATCCATCAATGTTTTTTAAATGATGAAAAAGCCATTTCCCATTGATGTAAGGTATATAAGGGACATTTTGTGTTTAGAATAGTATCAGTTATTCCATTTTGGTCTCTTTTTGGGGTGCCTCAACATCTGTGCCACAGGCTGTGTTTACAGCGTAACTTGTCATCTCCCCACCCTTCTCTGTCTTTGAACCTTGAACTGGTGGCCCAGTCCTGGACTGGCCCTTAGGAGACCAGGTAATTAGTACTTGAGTGACCTTGGGAAGGTCACTTCTTCCACCTCTCAGTTTTCTCATCTGTAAATGGGGAGAATAATCGATGTTCTATCTCCTTCCCAGGGATGAGTTAGGAGGTCCAAATGAGAGAGCATGAGGGGTTGTTAGAGTGGTTGTGATATCTGCCCTGGGGGAAATTGCACAAGGGGAGAATCTTTTCCCTCACCTACCAGTGGTGTTCCAGTGTTTGCTGCTGGTGCCCCTCCTGGGCCCTCCTTGGCTCATGGCATGACAAGATCCTAGATCTGAAGAGGGAAGGGCTCTCAGGGCCTTCCATTCTAACATCTTCATTTTACCGATGAGGAAACTGAGGCCCAGAGAGGTGAAGAAGTCATTGAGCCCGGTCCTCTGACGCTCGAGCTGGGGCTCCTTCTGCTGAACCAGTCTGCCTCCTCATTGGGCCCCATCCTGGCTCTGACTCTTTCCTTGTGACCGTGGGCTCATTCATTAGCTTCTCCAAACCTCATTTTCTTCATCTGTCAAATAGAGGTAATCACCCTTACACTTAGGGAAAGCATTTTACAAACCTCAGAGTGCTATAGAAAGAGGGGATAATGTTGTTGTGCTTAGCACAGTAAGTGCCTGGCACATAGCAGGCACTTAATAAATCTTTGTTGACTGACTTACAGACTGTTACTATCTTTTCATCCATCTTGAAGTAGAGGTGATCTGAGACAACAGGATCACTGTCCTGGAGCTAGCCTGGGGTCTAGAAGGTTAGACGCCTTCTCCTTAGTTCAGTGAGCATTTATGAAGTGCCTGCTGTGTGCCAGGCCTGGTTCTGGGTGTTGGGGAATACAGAAACAAAAATAAAATACATCTTGCCTTAAGGAGCCTACATTCTACAGGTTTTTATACTTCTAAGGCAGGAGCCTTATCTGTATCTGGCTAGACACTTAGCAGTGTGATCCTGAGCAAATCATTCCATCTCTGAGGATTACTGTCCTCATCAGTAAAATGAGGTTTCCAACACTTGTACTCTATCAACTACTCCATGGCAGTGGTCCCGTGTGTCCCCTTCCCCTGGGGCCGTGGGCCCATGAAGGCAGGAATCAGGACTCTTGGCTGGAGTTGGCAGCAGGGAACATGACCAGAGCTGAGCTCAGGGAAGATGACTTTTTGCAGCAGAGAGAGGCTAAAGGTGCAGGTTGAGCTCATGGCCTGGGGGGGCCCCTGCTGATGCAGAGATTCTGAGATTCTGATTGGGGCACAGAGAAGAGGGAGAAGGGAGGGAGCAGGTAGAAGAATACTGCAGGAGTTTGGCCCTAAGAGCCTGATTTGGAGCAGTGGGAACCTAGCTGAGGGGACAGATTTGAGGAGGGGCAGAGGAAGGATCGGCTGATTGGATGGGGGGAGAGGAGGGCATGTGAGCCTTTGGAGAAACAGAATTTAAAAGTCAAACAGCTATGCGTGGTAGGTGAGGGAACATTCCCCAGACACTTGGAACCAGAACTCTTCAGGCTTAAAAAGAACTCTGACCCTGACAGAGAGCAAATGGAGTCAGATGACCCCAAGCAGCTGAGCAAAGGCTGTTGGGAAGAGGAGGAGTGTGGCGTCAGCAATCAATCAGTCAATCAATCAACAAGCATTTATAGAGTGCTTCCTCCATGCCAGGCCCCAGCTAAGGCAAGAGCACCAACACAGGCCCTGCCCTCCAGGAGCTCACAGTCTAATGGGGCAGACAACCTGCGGAGAAATAAGGCCACCCAAGATACATGCAGCATAGAGGGAGTGGAAGGCCTCCTGCAGAAAGTAGCCTGTGCTCTCGGTCTTGAAGAAAGCCAGAGATGTCAAAGAAAGGGGGGAGGGGAGGAGACAGAGTGTTGCAGGCTTGAAGGCAACCAGTGCAAAGGCGCAGAAGTGGGAGCTGATGTGGCCTTTCTGAGGCACAGCCAGTGCAAAGGCCCAGAGGTGGGGGATGACGTATCCCTTCTGAGGCACAGCCAATAGAAAAACAAGGGAGGAGGGTGGTGTTGGTGAAGGATGATTAGACTGAGGACAGAGGCTATGTCTTCTCTATACATCATGTCTCCCCAAATATGGGCATAGTGTTGTCCACACGACAGGTGCCTATTTGTTGTCATGGAGTTCCGGTCTGGCCCTGTTGGCTGAGTCTGTCAGGCAATGGGGGAATTTGGGGCTGGAGCTCAGGAGGGGAGGGAGGTTTGGCCATCATCTCCATGGGGCTGTCGATGGAAGCCAGGAGAGGTGAGGAAGCCGGAGGGCCAGGCTCAGAGGAAGGGGCTTTGCTGGTGGCCCCCAGAGCCTCCTTTGGCCTTCAGCCCCTGTGGGCCAGCACTGGTGGCCGCTCTCCTTCTGCCCCTCTTTGCACATGGAGTCACAGATTTGGGTTAGTTATAAATAGCCAGACCTGCGTGGCTCCTCTTAGCACATGAAGGATCCAAATGGACAGGCAGGCAGACGCAGAAAGCATGCATTGCATTTTTAATCTTTGGTGTTTTGCATCTCTGGCTTTCCCTGTTTTTCTCTCTGTCTCTGTTCCTGTCTCTTTCTCTGTCTCCCCTCTCCTCTCCTCTGTCCCCCCCATTTCCCCCTCCTGCTTTCTCCTCTCAATATAGCAAACTAAAGCACACTCACACACATATATGTATAGACTGGACACATGTGTGTGTGTGTGCACACGTGCGTGTGCCCTGCCAAGGGTAGAGAGGGAGAAGGGGGATGATGTGAGGTGGGGGGAAGGACTGGGAGGTGAAACAAAGAACAAAACCCTCTTTGATCAAGGTCAGACCTCCGGTCTCCTCTCTGGGCAGCAACCAGAATTCGGCATTGAAGACTGAGGTGGCTCAGTGTAACAGGAGGAGCCCTGGAGGTGGGATCTCAGAGCCTCCGCTCTAGCTCTGCCGCTTCTTAACCGAGGGACCTCTCTGAGCCGTCAGCCAGTCTCTAAGGTCCTCTACCCTTAAGCAGAGGAGCTGGGGGCAGTGAGGTGGCGCCATAATGCACAGAGCACTGGACCTGGACTCAGGAAGGCCTGAGTGCAAATCCTACCCCAGACACTTTCTACCTGTGTGACCTTGGGCACTCACGTCTCCCCCGTGTTCTTCCGTTTCCTCAGCTGTAGAATGGGGCTCATAATGGTGCCTGCCTCCCAGGGATGTTGGGAAGCATCTTTGTAATGGGCTCAGCACACAGCCTAGTACACAGTAGGTGCTTAATCTGGCTCATTTCTCCTTTCTATCTGAGCCAGGCTCAGGGTTCTCTTGCCCTCCCTGGCTTCCTTCAAGGCCCAGCTAGAGTCCCTCCTCCTCCAGGAAGCCTTTCCCGCTTCCCTGTAGGGCTTGTGCCTGCTCTCTCTTAATCTCTCCCAATTCACTGCGTTTGTAGCTTGTTTGGACATTGCTGTTTGCACGTGGACTCCCCCTTAGACCAGGAGCTCTTGGAGACCAAGGACTATTTTTGCCGTTCCCTGTCTCTCCAGCAGTCACAGCAGGGGCCCTTGGACTCTGGGGCTCTGGCTGCCCTTCTGCCCTCCTGACACCAGGAGACACCTCCAGGGCTTTGAAGGCAGCGCCTTTGGAACCAGCAGAAAAGGCTACCAGGCCAAACCCGGGGAAGGTCGCGAGCTTGCTGCCTGTGGCCTGCCTGGCCAAGAAGTGCCCCTCCCCAGGCTGGCTGCAGGGGCTGAATTGTTTCTGGGCACAGGTAAGCTGTGATCGACAGACAGAAACCTCAGGGAAGGAGGTGTTTCTCCCGGGACACCAAGAAGTAGCTTCTCTGCTGTTCTTGATGGGAGAGCAGCTGAGATCTTGGGGATTCTAAGGGGGGTGTCAGACCCTCTGAAAACGCACCAGCTGAAAACCTCAGCAGGCCTTAGCGCCGAGCAGGCGGGCCGCCATCCCTGGCAGCAGAGACAGGCTCCCAGCATCAGCAGACAGGGCACAGGCTGGGAACTGGAAGGGGCTTTCCTCAGATCTCAGAGCTAGAAGGAAGCACGTAGTTCAGCGGCCCGCCTCCGCCACACCTCCTCGCCTCCTCGCATCCCTGCCCACATCTGCTGCCACATCCCCAGACACAGAGGCCCGCTACCTTGCAAGGCAGCATCAGCCACCCCTAGCTCTCTCCTCGTTGTCCAAGAGGGCCAGCTGCTGGAAGGAGCCTCCCCATCCCTCCTCCTACCCTCAGATGGTAGAGTTACAGCCTGCATGTTCTGGGCCTCAGTTTTCCTTTCTATAAAATGGAAGGATGATGGAGTTGGACTGGATAGAAGGCAGTGTAGCGTGGTGGGATGATTCCTGGGTTTAGAATCAAAGGACCCAGGCCGGCTTCCCCGCCCTGCTGTGGGGGCACGGTCGCTGAGATGGCGCAGTGGAGACTCGAAGTCAGAAAGACCCGAATTCCATTCCTGCCATTGACCCTATCTGTGTGACCTTGGGCAAGTCACTGAAACTCTGCCTCCGTTTTTTCTTCTGTAAACGGAGCTCGTCATAGCACTCACCTCACAGCGTTGTTGAGGATCGAATCAGATAGCCGTGTAAGGCACTTTATAAATGCGAGCTGATTGGCTGTGACTCTCTGGGTGCCTCAGCCTCCCTCTGTGGATGAGCTAAAAGGATGGAGGATGTCCGGTCCAGGTGAGAGAAGTCCGAGGTGGACTCGGGTGGGCAGCCGTGTACATGGCTGTGTCGACCCTCACCCCAAATGCTTGATTCCAACGGTGGAAACCCATTACTCTAGGGCTGAATGACCGTTTGGGAGACTGACTGGAGGGGGTCTTTCTTGCATATACTGCTGTGTTCTGTCATCCAACTCTTCATGACCCCATGTGGGGTTTTCTTGGCAGAGATACTGGAGTGGTTTGCCGCTTTCTTCTCCCCCTCATTTTACAGGTGAGGAAACTGAGGCAAGCGGTGTGAAGTGACTTGCCCAGGGTCATACAGCTAGAAGTGTCTGAGGCCAGATTTGAACTCGGGAAGATGAGTCTTCCTGATTCCAGTCTGGGCTCTCTGTGCACTATGGCGCCCCCTACCTGCCTGCCAGCTCATGTTCACTTATATTGTTCATATGTGGTTTATATCATAGTCTCTGAGGCCCCTTCTAGCTGAGATTCTGTGTCATCAGCCTTTGTCACTAGGTGGTCTCTTAGGAGACCGTCTCAAGCTCTGAGAGTCTAGAATTCTTTTCTTCTTCCCTCCCGTCCCTTTGTCTCATGCCCTCTGGGCCCTTCCCATCGTCCCTATCGGAAGCTCCGAGTTCAAATCCTGACCCTGCCGCTTGCTTCAGGGATTGGGGTGGGGGAAGGTGTGACTCGATTCCCTTCTCTGTAAGTCAAGAGCCAATTGAACTGGAAGGCCCCCTGCAGGCGGAGAAGATGGCTAGGGGGTGCTCAGAGATTTAGGCGGTTGCTCTTTCCTCCTTCAGCCTGGAGACACTCCCCTGGAATGTAGCCCCTCACCAGCCCTGGTGCAGGGGAGCACCCCGCAGCCTCCAAGGGAGGTGACGCACACACCAGCCGGCTCTGCCCCTTTCACCCCCTCACTCTGCCTGCCTTTGAAGTCCTCAGGGGGCTCAGACGAAGGCTCATAGCATACTTTCAAAGGCCACGTTCCTCAGGCTAATGGACGCCTGGTAAATAAATTACTGCTAATTGGCACATTGAGACCCGTAGGCTCATGAGCCTGCCCCTTTGTACCTTTGGAGCAAATTAAGGAGGTGGCTGGGGAGCACGGCGAGCGTTTCTGCTTTCGGCTGCCTCTTCCAGCAAGAGCGGCTTGAGAAGAGAGGGCATGGTGCCTCAGCTCTTTGTGGGCTGCTTGGGGGGGGGGCTGGGGGGACTCTCAGCTTGGAGGCCCCTTGGCATGGGAGAGGGACTCTGGGGTGGTAGAGAAAGTTGACTGGGGTAGGCTTGGCATCAGTGTCACTGCCTTTTGGGTTGTGTTTGAGGTACATGGGGATGGGCGGCCCTTTGCCCTCCATCCCTGCCCCCTCCCCCCACACTTGGTAACTTCCAGGGTCTCTGATTTCCTGGGGTGTGTGTGTGTGCAGCCTTCTTCCTCTGACGCAGGCTGATCCATCCCCTCACCCTCCTCGTGACTTAGTACATTGGCTTGGGCCTCAGGGCCCACCCCCTGCCATCTCCCTCGTGGGAGCTTCTGTGTTCTAGATGAGGCCGCGTTTCACACCAGCGACATTTGTCCATTCTGGCCTCAGGACATGCTCCAAGCCCTTCTGCCTCTTCTGGCCTTCTGTACAGAATCAAAGTTGGGCCGATCGCCCTAATGAGATATTGGAGAGCTCTTGGATCAATATGCATTCGTTTCTATAAAGTGACAGGCCCCCAGAAAGCTGGTGCCCCAAAGGAGAGGGCTGGGCAGAGGCCGAGGAGCTCTGCTGTCTGGCTCCTTCCCTATTTCCCCTTCACTCCTTGGACAGTGGAGTCCTGCAGACCTGATGCAAATCCTGGCTCTGCCGCTCACTAGGTGTGGGACCTTGGGCACATCCCTTAACCTCTCTGGGCCTCAGTTTTCTCCTCTGTAAAAAGAGGAGGTTGCTAATGTCCTTCAGTCATTTGAGTCTGACCGACTCTCTGTGACCCCATTTGGGGTTTTCTTGGCCGAGATACTGGAGTGATTTGCCATTTCCTTCTCCGGCTCCTTTTACAGATGAGGAAACTGAGGTAGACAGGGTGAAGTGTCTTGCCCAGGGTCCCACAGCTAGTGAGTGTCTGAGGCCAGATTTGCATTCAGGTCTTCCTGACCTCAGGCCAGGGCTCCATGCACTGGACCAGCTGCTCAGTAAAAGGGAGGGGGCTGCCCCAGATGCCTCCCATGTCTGAGTCTAGCGCCCTGTGCTCTCTCTCTCTCCTCCAGGGGCGGACGCGATCATCCAGAAGGGCCTGATCCCCTCTCTGGTGAACAAGGTGAAGGACGAAGATGAGGAGATTCAAGAGCTCATCTTGGACACGCTTTACTTCTGCCTGCGATGGGACGCGTCCCCGGCCCTGCAGAGCAAGGCGGTGCCAATCCTTCGGGAAAAGCTCAGCGACCCCAACGAGAATATCCGCAGCAAAGCGGCCCACGCCTTGATGGCCATCTGGTGAGAGGCCGGGAGGGAGCGGCCGGAGGCGGGTGGGGCCGGGGCGCGCGTGGAGTGGGGGCAAGTCTCCGTCTTCCCGTCTGCGAGATGAGCTGCTGCCCGAGATAAGTCAGGGAGGCCGAGGTGCAGGAGCGGAGCCTGGGCTTTGGAGGCAGAGGGCTGGACAGCTCACCCCATGTCTGCGCCTCTGTTACTAACGGGCTTGGGCTGACGTGACCTGTGTTGGGCCTTGCTAAGCACAGAGAAGCTGGCCCCAGCTCCCTCCCCCCTCTCCTCCTCCTCTTCCTCTCCCCTCCCCCCACTCCAAGGTGGGCTCGGCTGCTCAGGCGTGGGGAAGGCGGTTGGTGGGGACGGCTGTGTCCTCCAGGAAGCTCAGAGCTTCCAGATCAAACTCGGGAGCCGAGGGTTGCCCGGGCACAGCTGTTCTCTGCTGCCTTTGGTGACAGGCGCAGAGCACCCTGGGGCTAGCTTATGCCATTACGGTTTTGTGGTCACTCCTCCCCTTGGGTCAGCACACTCTCCAGCCACACATCCTCAGGCCAGTCCTTCTGAGGACATCTACTTGCCTGAAGATACTGAGGGTCCCACAGGGTGTGGGATAAAGGCTGCTAGGGGTGCCACAGTGCATAGAATGCCAGGCCTCGAGTAGGAAAGACTGAGTTCAAATCGGGCCTCAAACACTTCCTACCTGTGTGACCTTGGGCAAGTCACTTCACTGCTGTCTGACTCAGTTTCCTTGACTGTAAAATAGGGAGAATAACAGCACCTCCTTGCCAGGATTATGTGAGGATCAAATGGGATGCTTGTAAAGGGCTTATCATAGTGCTCGGTGCGTACTTTTTTCAGAAATACTTGTTTCCTTCCTTTCTAAAGCGGGGGCCTTAGCCTTGGGGATGCTCTTGCTGATTTTTCTCACGTGGTCTGAATTTCTCTCTGCCTCCTCCTCCTTTTTTCGTTGGTTCTGTTTCCTAATCTTTCAAACTCAAATTCTCCCTTTTCAGCTCTCCTCTCTTCATGATGGAATGGGGCAGAACGCTTTCCTGGGCATCGGCAGGGTGGAGTTTCCCTCTGCCCTCTGCCCCTCACACAGTAGGATCCTGGACAGGTCACTGCTCTCTGGGCTTCAGTTTCTTCTTCTGCAAAATGTAGGCATCGGACCAGATGCTTATTGGCGGGGGTCAGGGGTCGGAGCCAGTTCTGACGATTCCTTGGTCCCTCTGGAAGGACCCTTCCAGCACTATCCTTCTCTCCTCCAAGGTCTCTCCAAGCCCTGACCTTTGATGTCTTCTCCTCTGCTTGAGGGCAGGAATTGCCTGGTGCATAGTAGGGTCTTAGGAAATATTTGTTGAACTAAATTGAATTAGTTTTGATCCCGAGGGTTGTCTTTAGGGGTGAAGTGTGGCAGAATGTGTAGAGAATTGGACTTGGGGCCAGGAATACCTGGGGAGATGTCTCTTTATGCCACAAGGCTTGGTTTTCTTGGTAGCATGAGTTCCAGGTGATATCCAGATTGAAGAGGCCACTCTAGGTGGGATGGTGGAATGAGGAGCCACAGAGATCTTCACGGCCTGTTAGGATGGTCTGAAACCAATGAAGTGAAAGTACATAAGCAGAAGGGCTTATTAGTGGAAGCGCTCCCATCGACTGTACAAATGGTGGCCAATGTCATTAGGTCCTTTCCACATGGTATTGACTGTACAATGGTGGCCAATGTCATTAGGTCCACTCCACATGCTATTGACTGTACAAATGGTGGCCAATGTCATTGGGTCCACCCCACGTGGTATTAACTGTACAAATGGTGGCCAATGTCACTGGGTCCATTCCACGTGGTATTGACTGTACAAATGGTGGCCAGTGTCATTAGGTCCATTCCACAATTGCAGAAGAAGGTAGGAAAGGTATTATTCTCCCGTGATCCTTATTTAAGAGATGAGAACGTGGAGGCTCCGAGAGGTTGCCCGTGACTGCTGGCCTCCTCGTGGTCAAGGGTATGAATGATAACCACAAGAGAGGCACCCATTTCTGTGGTGTTTGGTGGCTCACTAGGTGCTCTTCTCAAAACGGCTACATGAAGCAGGTAGTGGAAGTATAATTATTCCCATTTTACAGATGAGGGAACTGAGTCTCGGGGGAGGAAATGAATTTGCCCGAGGTCACATAGCTAGGAAGCATCAGATCCTGGACTAGAACTCAGGCCTTCTAACTCCAAAGCCAAGGTCCATCTCTAAGGCAAAGGGGACTGGACTGTTCCTTGTGGCACCTCTCTCCTCCCTCTTCTGGGGCTTAAAGTATGGTGGTGTGGTCAGAGAGACCTGGATTAGATCCATCCTTCAATGCTTCCTAGACTCTTAAGCCTATCATTTACCATGGTACCTGCCATATTTGGAACACTCAATAAATGCTTGTTATATGACCAACTTAATCTCTCCATACCTTAGTTTTCTTATCTGTAAAATGGGGATGATAACAGCCTCTATCTCCCAGGGTTGTGAGGATTAGGTGAGGTAACAAAGGTAAAGTGCTTAGTGAACCAGGGGCTCTGTAAATGCTAGCCATAGCTGCTGTTGTTGTGTTCTGGGGTTCCTGAGGAGGGTGGGGATGGGGTGGGAGCACCTCTCCTCCCATGCTCCTTGGGCTGCTTTGGGCCCTGATGACATCTTTCCTCCAGCATGCCACGGGAGGGGAAGAACCAAGTGTGGGATTATGGCGTCATCCCCCTGCTGGTGTTGCTTCTGGATGACTTCAGCATAGATGTGAAGGCCAATGCTGCCGGGGCACTGATGTTTGCAGCGGTGACTACTGCAGGTCAGAGGGCCCGGAACTGGGGGAGGGGGACAGCTTGAGGCCTAAGGCCAGGGGGAGATGGAGCCCCTCTTAGAGCCCAGGTTTCAGCTGCTCTTTGGAGAGCTATTTAAAATGTCCCCCAGCTTGAGGAGAGGTGGCTGAATACAGACTGGCTGGGGCCTGCTCCCTCCTCCCCCCATGGAGTTCTGAAGCATTATGTAAAGCCTTCTGGGGGAAGTGTGATTATCCCCATTTTATAGTGGAGGGCAAGAGGCAGCATGGTGTGGTTTATATTGGCACAATGATTCTTCATGAGAAGGTCCCAATTCTAATGAAATCATAAATTTGGTAAAACACACACACACACGTACACACACACACACATGTAATACACATGCTCACACACACATGCATGCACACATACAACCCATGAGATGAAGAAACAGGCTTGGAGGAAGGGGAGGTGGTTTGCCCAAGACCACCAGCCAGTCAGTTAATTTTTGATCACGTCATTACTGCCAGTTATTTTTGTCAAGCTGAAGGTGGTGGAAGTTTTCCTTCCCTCTGCACAAGCTCCCCTTCTTGTCCTCCATCCCTGGGGAGGTGAGAGGAGCCTGGGCCCACAGCAGAAGGACCTGGCTCCCTTCCTGTCTCCGCTGGGGCTCTGGGCTCTTTCCTCCTCTGGAAGATGAAGGGTTTGGAACAAATCAACTCTAAGATGCCTTCCGGCTCCAAATTGTTTCCCCTCTCTTCATGATCCATGAATAACCCCCCTAATTCTAGGCCAGAGCTGTGTCTACTGGCCCTGTTGGAAGCTGTGTCCCCACCCAGTGCCTGACATGGCACCATTAGGAATTCCTTCCTTGGAGATTTGAGCACTATTTGGGCTTTTCCAGAGCCTTCAATGAACACATTCTGTTGGGAGGAAGAATCTGGGGAGTTGTCAACCACTCATGCCTTTTTGGAAATCAGTTTAGCAGCTCAATTGGTAGTCCTGCGTGGGTGAGATGCTTTGTGCATCCTGGAGGACTGGGGCATCTGAGGTTTGAGGATAGTCTTGAAATAGATGTGGGAGAACCTTAAAGAGCAAGGTGCCTGACCTCTTCATCTTGCTATATGCCGCTTCCAGTGACTCCCCTAACCAGATTTTACTGTCTCTAGAGTGGCATTGTAGACCTTTGGACACCCCCAACCTTTTGGGAGGAGATTTGGCCTCACAAGATCCAATCACAGGGTGGAGGAAACCCAGGAATGGAGCCTCCCCCAGCCCCACATAACCAACTGATTCTCGACCCCATTTTTATCCCATCATTGTCCATGGTCTAGGGCCTCTGAGAGGTATGCTAAGAAGGATATGGAAGGCACCCCAGGGGCCCGGTGAAATAGCTGGACGCTGGACTCATTGTTCTGAGCCTAAATATCTAATGCGGGTTCATCAAATAAAGGTGGAATCAAATTTATATTATTTGTTCAGGAAGATCCTGTCCTGGGGAGAAGTTAGGAAATGCCATTGTTGTGATAATGGTGTTTTCAGGCCTATGCATGCGTCTCTGTCTGTGTGTCTTTGCCTGTATCTGGATATATGTGCGTATGCCCGTATGTCTGTGTGTGTCTGTGTTTGCTTGGTATCTGTGTATTTGTGTAACTTTGGGTGTGTTTCTGTATGATCCCAAGTATCTTTGTCTTTTTGGACCCTGGGTACACATGTGCATCCCTGGGTATATTTGTGTTTGTGCCTCTGTGCGTCTGTGTGTTTGTACGAGTGTGTCTCTGTGTATCTGCATGGTTCCGAGCTACTCTTGGGAACATACCTGTGTGCTGATTGATCTTCTTGAGTGTGCAGGTGAGTAGGCTGCCCTGGATGCTAAGGAAATGCCTCCATTGCTGAACGTGTTGGATATTAGAAAGAGGAAGCCTCGCTCGTGTGCCTTGAAGGCACTCGCTATGCTGGCTGAGGCACACCCTCCCCCACTCCAGAGCCCTGCCATGTTGGCGAAGGAGCTGGATAAGTCTGAGGGTCTGCTGATGGAGCGGGACCCAGACTCAATTTGAATAGTCCAAATAGCAACCAAGGTCATCCTGTGGAAACCTTGAGCCTTGGCCTCTAGGACCACAGACTTTTTTTTTTTTTTTGGAACTATGCCCAAAGGGCTATAAAAATGTGCATCCCTTTGACCCAGCAATAGCACTTCTAGGGCTGTATCCCAGAGAGATCACATGAATGGGAAAAGGACCCACATGCACAGAAATATTTACAGCAGCTCTTTTTGTAGTGGCAAAGAACTGGAAACTGAGGGGATGCCTATCCATTGGGGAAAGGCTGAACAAGTTGTGGTATATGAATGTAATGGAATACTATTGTGCTATAAGAAATGATGAGCAGGCGGACTTCAGAAAAACCTGGAAACACTTGCATGGTCTGATGCTGAGTGAAGTGAGCAGAACCAAGAGAACATTGCACACAGTAACAGCCACATTGTGCAATGACTAATGTTGATAAACTTAACCCCTCTCAGCAATGCAAGGATCTCAGACATCTCCAAAGGCCTCGTGATGGAAAATGCTGTCACATCCAGAGAAAGAACGATGGAGTCTGAATGCAGACCGAAGCAGACTGTTTGCTCTTTTTTTCTTCTGTTTTGTTTTGTTTCCTCTTCCTGGTGGTTCCTCCTATTGGTTCTAATTCTTACTTACAACATCACTAATGTGAAAATATATTTAATGGAAATGTATATGTATAGCCTATATCAGATTGTGCGCCCTTTTGGGGAGGGAGGTGGGGAGGGAGAGGGAGAAAAATTTAAAACTCAAAAGCTTATGGAAGTAATTGTTGATAAATCAAAATAAATTAATAAAAAATTATTCATTTTTAGTTTTCAACATTTGCTTCCACAAGATTTTGAGTTCCAAATTTTCCCCCATCTCTCCCCTCCCCCATCCCAAGTCAGCATATGTTCTGAATACTCCCTTCCCCTAATCTGCCCTCCCTTCTATCATACCCCCCCCCTTCTCTTATCCCCTTTCCCTTCTATTTTCCTGTAGGGCAGGATAGATTTCTATATCCCATTGCCTGTATCTTATTTCCCAATTGCATGTCAAAACCATTTTTAACATGTGTTTTTAAAACTTTGGGCTCTAAATTCTCTCTCTTCCTCTCTCCTCACCCAATCTCATTGAGAAGGCAAGCAACTCAAAATAGGTTATACACGTGTAGTCATGCAAAACACTTCCATAATAGTCATGTTGTGAAAAGCTATATTTACCTTCATCCTATCCTGCCCCTCCATTTATTCTATTCTCTCCTTTGACCCTGTCCCTCCTCAAAAGTGTTTGCTGACTTTCTTTTTTTAAAATAATAATATTTTGTTTTTTTCCAATTACATATAAAGACAATTTTTAACATTCATTTAAAAATTTTTTTGAATTCCAAATTATCTCCTTCCCTCCCTTACCACCCCCCTACCTAAGACAGTTAGCAATTTAATATAGGTTATGTATGTGCAATCATATAAAACGTATTTCTACATTATGTTGTGAAAGAAGAAATAGGCCAAAAGAAAAGAACCACAAAAAACCCAAAGAAAGTGAAAGTAGTGTGCTTCAATCTGCATTGAGATTCCATCAGTTCTTTCTCTGCATGTGGCCAGCATTTTCCATCATGAGTCCTTCGGAATGATTTTGCAGCACTGTATTGCTGAAAAGAGCTAAGTCGTTCATTGTGCAATGTGGATGATACTGTGTACAATGCTCTCCTGGCTCTGCTCCCTTCACTTTGCATCAGTTCATACAAGTCTTTCCAGGTTTTTCTGAAATCTGCCTGCTCATCATTTCTTATAGCACAATAATATTCCATTACAATCATATACCACAGCTTGTTGAGCCATTTCCAAATTGATTGACATCCCTTTGGTTTCCAGTTCTTTGCCACCACAAAAAGAGCTGCAATAAATATTTTAGTACAAATAGGTCCTTTTCCCTTTTTTTGATGTCTTTGGGATATAGACCTAGCAGTGGTATAGCTGGATCAATGGATATGCACAGTTTTATAGCCCTTTGGGCATAGTTCCGCATTGCTCTCCAGAATGGTTAAATCAGTTCACGACTCCACTAGTAGTGCATTAATATCCCAATTTTCCCATGTCCTTTCCAACATTTCTCATTTTCCTTTTCTGTCATAGTAGACAATCTGATAGGTGTGAGGTGGTACCTCAGAATTGTTTTAATTTGCATTTCTCTAATCAATAGTGATTTAGAGCATATCTTCATATTACTATAGATAACTTTGATTACTTCATCTGAAAACTGCCTGTTCATATCCTTTGACCATTTGTCAATTGGTAAATGGCTTGTATTCATATAAATTTGACTCAGTTCTCTATGTATTTGAGAAATGAGGCCTTTATCAGAGACATTTGCTCTAAAGATTGTTTCCCGGCTTTCTGTTATCCTTCTAATCTTGGTTGCATTGGTTTTATTTGTGCAAAAGCTTTTTAATTTAATATACTCAAAATTATCTATTTTACATTTTGTAATTTCTCTGTCTCTTATTTGGTCATACAGTTTTCTCTTCTCATAAATCTGATAGGTATATTTTGCCTTGCTCTCCTAATTTGCTTATGGTATCATCCTTTATGTCTAACTCATGTACCCATTTTGACCTTATCTTGGTATATGGTGTGAAATGTTGGTAGGACCAGAGACTTTCCACTGGGCCTGGCTAGGCAAAACCTTGATAATCCTAATGATAATGGTGATTGCATAGTAATTGTAAATATTCATCTTATTTAGGTTATGGTGACATCTCATTGGGCAAGATAATTGCTAAGAATTTCCTTTGTTTGCTCTTCATTTGTTGTGATTTCCCCTTTTTTCATTTTTAATATTAGTAAATTGATTTTCCTCTCTTTTCAACAGATTAGCTAATGTTGTATTTTAAAAATTTTTTGAAAAATCAATTTGTAGTTTTCTTTGTCATTCAATACTTTGTTTTGTTTTAAATTTTATTTATCTCTTCTTTGATT